TTTTAAAAAGTAATTTTAATGGGAACACAGCAATCAATATTTGGCTTTTAATTAGGTTTTAGTGGGGTTATTTTGTGTATTTTTGTATGATTTTTTTTTGTATCCTGTATATTGTATTTGTGTTTTTAATATGCTGTGAACCGCCCTGAGTCCTACGGGAGAAGGGCGGTATACAAATTAAATTAACCTTAACCTTAACTTAATAAGCTCGCCTACCTTACACAATAAAGTGTTATCCTATGATTGTCCTGAAATGTAATATAGTTTGAGCTATATCAGACTCAAAACCAGAGCAACAACTGAAGCTCAATACAAGCAGAGAAAGTAACAGGCAGAGACATAATCAAAGTCAAGTAAATACTAATATTCAAGAAAACAGGCATTTAGGCACAATTCTGATGCCGGAGACAAATTACTCAGATTAGGGATGGTATGTATGCATATATTTATTAAATTTATATAACTGCCCATCTGATGCACATAACTTATACATTCTGAATCTGGGGGATTGTGAATCCATACTAAGGAATCTGCTCACTGAATGCTCAGATAGGCTGATGCTACAACCTGGGTGGTGTCTAGAGCACCTAGAGTTGCAATGAAAACTAAGCATTGGTGGCACAAATGTTAAGGCAAAATTCCTGTCTACTGGGAATTTGTCTATAATTACATGTAAACCTGTTGGAATGACTAAAAACATAAACGTATGCATATATTTAAGGTTCCAGTGAAAAGGACAATACCCAGGCTTTTGTTAGCCCTCCAAAGGAATTTCCAGTCTACCTGTGGCAGCCCTTCCTTAGACATAATTATTACTGTTTTCCAGATTCAGAAGCTCAGAAGCAATTCAGCATCATGGTGAACGATTGCATCAGGCACTTAAACCATGGTGAGTATAGCAGACATAATCTGATAACTTTGCTATTGTTCTCTCACTTAGAAAAAGATCCGTTTGACCATTGGTTGCAAACTAATTCATGTAGCAAAATGAAAATCTATGTCTTGCATTATCCCAATAAATAATGACATGCTTAGAGTTGACCCAACATCTTTTAAACGAGAGAGATATGGCTTTTTATTATATACACACTTATCTCTTTAAGGATAAGCTAGTGGGTGATAAGTGGAGAAACCAACTGTGTTGACAGGTGCAAAATCATCCTCTATTTCAATGATAGCGAACCTTTTAGAGACCGAGTGCCCAAACTGCAACCCAAAATCCACTTATGCATCGTCGGGTGCCGGGTGGGCGTGGCCCATTGGCTGGGCGTGGCCCATTGGCTGGGTGTGGTAACGACAGACTGGGTGGGACTAAAAAGTTCAATCAATCAATTCCAACTTCGCAAGATCTTTTTTCCCGTGAGAAGTTGAAATTGACTGATTGATTGAACCTTTTTTTTTTTGTACACGGTGGCGGAGGCCTAAGGCGAAAAGGTTTTATAAAACCTAGCTGAAGGCCTAGGACTGGGGTGACGGCGCTCGTGCCCACAGAGAGGGCTCCGAGTGCCGCCTCTGTCACCCATGCCATAGGTTCGCCACCACTGCTCTGTATTGTGGGGAGAACTTGGCTGGTAATTCAGTCAGGCATGGAGAAAGCAAAAGCTGGATTGGCAATTCTATTACTTGTTTCCTTACCCTGTCATTTTGTCTAGCTCCACCCCTCCCCCCACCTTCCCACCTTGTGGCGGCGGCACTAGAGTGACACGCGCTCTCCTGCCCCGTTGCGACTGTGAGCAACCAGACGGTGGGATGGAGTGGGTGGGCTCTTAACTAGGGCGTGTTTTGGATTAGGGGTTATGTTAGGCACACGCTAAAAAATCATGATAGGGCTTATTTTCTGGGTTGTCTTATTTTCGGGAAAACATGGTAATTTCTTCTGGTACAAATTTGTGGTGTGGAAGATCACATTACACTAAAACAATACATTGATACAAACTGTTACTACTATACAAAGATGGAGAAGAAAGTAACTACAGTACCTGAGGTGTTCTTTCAAGTTCATGTAAGCTGAGTTTCCATGTTTTGCTCAATGGTTGTGTGCCATTTGTCTGTAGGGTCTGAGACATGGCTAAAGGAAAAATAGAATCATCATCATCATCATCATTTTGATCCTACCTTTTCATGTATAACTCAAGATGGCAAACATACCAATATTCCTGCTTATTTTCCCCACAACAACCCTTGAGGTGAGTTGGACTGAGAAAGACCTGCCCAAAATCACCAGCATTTTCATAATTTTAATAAGCCCTGTAGATTGGATAGATTGGATAAGCATAAGCATAGTCTTGCTAGAGCAGGATAAGATCCATTCTAGCGCAACGTTTTGTTTCTTAGAGTGGTTAATGAAATACCTCTAGGGTGCTCTCAAGTAGGAGACTGAGAATTTACCTTTATCCCACTACCATTCACCATTCAAATTGGTATTTGGAATCAAACTGCCCCCAGGGCAGAGATAAAATTGGGTCTTCCAACTTTCTAGTTTTTAGCTAACATTCCATGAATCTATCCAATCCCTTTTAAAGGCATTCAAGTTAGTGGCCATCGCCATGTTTTGTGGTAATCAATTCCACAGATTAATTATACACGGTGAGAAGTACTTTCTTTTTCTTGATCTCTTCAAATTCAATTTGCTTCCTTGGATGACTACTGGTCCTAAAGTTTTCAGACAATGTGAAAAATTTCTCCCTGTCTACGTCTACTCTATATATGATCTTATCCATTTTGATAAGGTTATTTCTCAACTGATTTTTTTCTGCATTCTGTATGTAACAAACTACATCCCTCATACTATTCCCAGTTCCACTATGCATTTTTATTTCTCAAACTTTTAACACAGAAGCTACTTTGTGGAAGAGAATAGAATGACAGAATAACAGAGTTGGAAGGGACCTTGGAGGTCTTTTAGTCCAACCCTCTGCTCAAGCAGGAAACCCTATAGCATTTCAGACAAATGGTTGTCCAATCTCCAGTTAACCCCCTCTTCTTTGTAGCAGCCTCTTAGATACTGGAACACTAATATCGTGTCACTTCTAGTCCTTCTTGTCTTTAAACTACTAAAGCCTTCTCTTTCAGGAACAGCCACAATTGGCACAGCAGATGGAGATGCGCAAAAGCCCTTTTCACCATAAACCACAACTGCCTCTTCTCCGAGCAAGAAGAATTGTTGAAAAAAATTACTAAGTTTGTTTAATCATGATTTATGAAGTCATAATGATTACACTTATGTACATTGAGAGGTTGATAAATTGATATAACCTGAAATTGACTTCTCTTAGTTGATTCAAAAGGGATGACCATTCATCACTTCAACTTCAGTTTCAACTTCTATTCTTTTTTCTTTCATTCAATCATGTCCAATTCTCACAGACTTCCTAGACAAGTCCTATAGCTTTTTTGCTAGGTTTTCAGAAGTGGCTTGCCATTGCCTCTTCCTAGGGCTGACAGAAAATGACTGGCCAAAGGTCATCCAGCTGCTTCATGCCCAAGATGGGACCAGCACTCACGATCTCCCAGTTTCTAACTAAAGCCTTAAATACTACATCAAACTGGCTCTTCTACTTCTATTACAGTACTTAATTTTTTTGATTGCTTCTTTGCCTATTATAAAACAGGCTAAATGAATTATTTTCTATTTTTTGTTTAAAACATTTTTTTGGATAAATAATTCTGCAGCAGATCATTTTCTTTGGAAGCAAATCAAATCGTATTACAAATGTTTAGAACACTCTATATCTTGATTCCAAATGAAGACCTTCTGCATCTCTACCCTTGAACTTTAGAGGGAATTTTATCAACCCTCTGAAAAGTCTACCTGCTATTTTTGCAAATATCACTTATATAAATGGAGACTGTAATTAAAACAAGCATAGATAGAACTGTGATTCACATATAGGTAATATGCAGGCTCTGAAGAGCATAGATAATGTTGCAATTTTATTGCACTATTTATACATTAAATTCCTGCAATGGTGGCAAATATCTGTAGCTCAGGTGTAGGATGAGGGTGGAGGTTCATTCTCCTAGCCTGGTCAAGAAAAGTTCGGAAACCAACCCACAAGCTCCGAGAACGAAC